CCTCCTCTGTCCCTCCATCCCCAGATGAGAAACATCCCATTTTGGCTTTTCTGATGCATATACTCAGTTCTGCTCAATATTGTTTTACACTTGACGCAACAATGACATTGTGTTATGCTGTAAAACAAACATTATGCAACAAAGTAACAACTTTCTATTTAAAAAAGGAGGAAGCCTAAGTATCCCCATGTCCAACTAATAACAAAGTAATTAAAAATGCATTCCACTGATACCACTTTAGCTCACTGGGTTGCAAAGAGAACAACCCTTATTCCATAAGGCCAATATGGAAGCTTGCTTCCAAATCCACCCTGAGGCCATTTTCTACAAGTCTTCTTTATGCTTTTCTCCCAGCTTTCCAGCCTTAGCCGATGTTTGATAGGACAGTGTCGGACAACATGCCCAAAAATATATATTACAAATTGCATTTGAAACATGAGTCTTTTTGAGAAATATGACTAACTAGTAGTGTTAATCAGGAAGTTATTTCAAAGTTAAGTATTGTTATCAAAAAGTTAATTCTACTTTAGACCAAAGATAGCTTAACTTAAGAAAAAGTCACACATGGACTGCTAGACTGAAAGAGAAAACAAAGTGAGACCTGTTTTCTTCAAAAACAGGTTTAATTAACTAAAGAAACCAAGGATATAAACACACCTCAGTTGCTGCCCCACCTAGGAGTGAAAAGGAACAGGAAGTGATGCACTCCTTATTTATATAATGCCTGTGGTGAATTCAGTTAAGGAACAAAGAAACTCAGGAACCAATCAGCAATGAGAAAATCAGGACAGGACTTCAGGTAAAGGAGTTGAGGTGGGGATAAATGAGGAAAATTGTAAAGAAAGCAGACAGCTTTTCCTCTTATCTGCTGAAATGCAAGTTGTGATCAACTCTAGGACCAAATGTATTATAATATATGTATTATTATATTATATGTATATGATTAAATGAAGCTGTTGCTGTCTTTTCTATTTTTCTTCCTTTAGCCAGTAATTTACAGGGGTAATTGATAAAAAGTACCACAAGATGGCGCTTCTCACATGTGTCTTACATTTTCAGCCTCTGTCTCTGCCTGTAAGGTTCACCACTCATCTTGGGCTATTAAAATGGCCGTTAGGCAGCAGTTTTGGGAAATTAAAGCAGTCTTACATTAAATTCATTGGTTTTCTTGTCAAGTCCCACATGCTGACTTTCCCAACCATACAGTTTCAGTTTCTGTCCTGGAGGAAGACAGCTGACATCCATGTCATTAATTAATGGTTGGGACATGTAAAATAACTCTCTACATGGGGACTATGGCAAAGGTTCAGAAGCCTTTGTCTCTGAATTGTGCCCCCCCCAGAAATTCCACGATTTGATCTTCAGTGACATTATTACAGTCAGTGCGTGAGCTGCATCCCAACTTATCAACTGTACCGTGTTACATATGAAAGGGCATGCACTCCTGAGTCACTGAGAAGAACACTTTCCTGTGTGGATAAATGAAAGCACTCATGTTGTTTCTTGCCATTACACATATCGAATCAGATGTGTAGAAAGAAACGCACCCAATACTCTTCCTTCCACCCGCTGCCCTGTCTTCAGTCATACAGTGTTGGTGTGGACGTCACACAGCTAAACACAGCCCAGCAGTGGTAATTGCTCTGTTCGCCCCAGACTGGCTGAAAGCAGCTGCATCATCTATCCACTCAATTTACTCCTAATGTGTGTTACTGATTGAACCGGCAATGAGGCCAGGAACAGTGACAAGGCTGGATAGAATCAAACCTTGTGTCCGTCTGCATGCACAACTTTCCTCCTCCTCCTTGTCCACCCCGCTCTAGCCCTCTCCTTCTCTGCTTCCTTCCTGTGTTCAGTGCTGCCCATGAGAAGTCCCTCCAGCGTTTCATTAATGGGGCGAGTTAATGTTGGTGCACGCGCCGCTCATATAAACTGCACTCGCTCCCTCTTCACCTTTCTCCTTCCCTCCCCCCTGGCCTCCCTCCTGCCCCCGTGTCACCTTTTCCACTCACTTGAGTCCTCTCTTTGCCCTCTCACTCTGCAAGAACCGGAGACTGATGCAGTCGTGACTAAGGATCTCCCTCGGTGTCAGAGTAGCTGTTGTTTAGCTCTAACTCTGTGCAGCTCCGGATGGCTCTGCTTTTACCCTGAGGGCTTTAATAACCCGAAATCTTTATACTCCCCATAGATGTCATATGCTTCTGTATTCAAAAGGACTTATAAAAGCTTGTAAAACAGACTTATATGCTCCTGACATCACATTTCAGATTGGTCTGTCATGTAAAGACATTTTTGGAAGAATATCTTAGCTGAGTGCCTTTTCCACCGTTGATACTGAATACTTAATTTAGCCAGTATATTAT